AGCAGGGGGTGGGGCATGAGGCACAGAAGGGTCTGAAGGTGGGCGGCTGGAGAGGGCGCTTGAGGACAGGATTGCCCTGCTTCTTGGGACAGTGTTCATCAAAGAAAAGGCTCTGGAATGAAATTACCCACAGGGTGGGACCCACTGGAGTCTGTAGGGACTTTTGTGGCTCTGGAGTCTGAAGGGGGAGGAAGCTGCTCGGGACATTGATGGCCTCCTGCTGGCTCAGGCCTGCCCCAGGGCCTTTGAGTATCACTGGGGCCCATGCAGGGTTGGCTCAGCCTCCTGCATGCTCCTCTCTCTCTCTCTCTCTCTCTCTCTCTCTCTCTCTCTGTCGTCCTGAATCAGGCACCATGTTTGTAACCAAGGACATATTTAAGGACTCTCACTGGGTCTGAGTGCCACACCCCCTCTGTCACAGGCTCCATCAGAAGATGAGCTGCAAGTTAGGAGTCAGCCCTAGCACTGGCCCTGCCCTGACCCTCCAAGGCCCCAGGTCCAGCCCATGGCACCTGGGCTTTTACCCCTGGGTTCTAGTTCATGTCAGGGTCCACTCTGCTCCCAGGCCTGACTTCCATGCCAGTTTTTTAGGGAGAACTGAGCTGACCTTGGGCCCAGGTAGAGCAGGTCCTCCAAGAAAAAGAGCCAGGGCCTGAGGGACCCAACTGCCTGATGGACAGGGTGAAAACAGGGCAAGGGTCTCTGGGACCCTTGACTCTTGCTGCACAGAAGTTTCCAGGAACCCTTTCTAGGCTGTTTAAAAACCGCGCCTTGAAGAGTGAGACCGACTTACGCTGGCGGGAAAGGTGGGGCTCTGGCCACAGCATGCATGGGAATGGGGGCCGTTCTGGGGTGGGGCACACGCCAACCAGTGCCCGACCTGCAGCTTCAAACCACACCTTGGCTGGTCCACGGAGCTGCCCAGTTCAGGACACACACAGTGGTTGTGCAGGGAGGGCAGTGCCCTGAGGGAGGACGTGGAAGAACAGGTGCTTCTCACTCTCCTGTCTCCTCCTGTTAGTGCCGCACACCCGCCAAACCAACCAGAATCCAGAACAGAAGGAAGAGAGGCTGTGGCACAGTCCACCAAGGCCACTCTGGTGCGGAGCAGGTGGGGAAGGGGACAGGCCACTGGGATGGCACACAGGGACTCTCGGGCCTGTGACTCAAACCCTGGGTGATGGTGCTCATTCACACAGGACAGGGATGACCATGGGCAGCCTGGATATCCTCTTCTGTTACTGAAGACCTCAGGAACACAGGACTCAGAAGGATTGGGGCTCATGCGGGCTTCTAGAAGGGACAGGGGGCACTTCAGAACATGTGCCAGCCAAGCACCACCCCCTACCCTGCTCTCAAGCTCCCCTCCCAACCATGGAGTGTGCGTCTGCCAAGTGGGTGCGGCATGTCCTCCGGCTGATGGTGCTGGGGGAAGAGAGCCCCTGCAGCCGCCCAGCCCCCAGGGTGTCCATGGAGCCTCAGTAGCCAGACCCCGCACCACGAGTCAGGGCCCAGGGTGCTGCAGCCATTTCCACTGGGCTTGGGTCTGCCCGCACCGCCCTGCGTCACCCAGCCTCTTCATGGAGCCAGCTGCAGGCACCTCATGGAACGAGCCACAGGGACAGGCAGCCTGGAGGGCCTCTGTGGTCAGTGACCCCCACTCCTCGGCCCGTTAGGCGGAGCCTTCACCTTCACTCTGTCAGGAACTGAGGGGAGCGAGGACACAAACCCGCACAAGGGCCTGCGTATGGTCCCTGTTGTGGTCTGGATGCGAGGTGTCCCCCAAAGGCTCCCGAGTGAGACAGTGTGAGGGTTCCGAGGGGAAGTGACTGGGCCTGAGAGCCTTAGCCCAGCCGGAGAACTGATCCCTGCGGGCACTGACTGGGGTGCCTGAGGAGGTGGGCACTGGGGCGTGGCTGGGCATGAGGTCTGCATCTGGACGGTGGAGCTTGCTCTCTCTTCCTGACCATCCTGTGAGCGCTTCTCTCGCCACTCTTCCGCCATCATGTTCTGCTCCCCTTGAGCCCTGAGGAATGGCGCCTGCTGAAACCCTGCGCTCCTCCCCTAAGATCGTTCTGGTCAGATCTTCTAGTCACAGCAGTGAAAACGCTGATTAAAACAGTCCCTGCTCCCAATGTGGCACCAGATGCCCAGCCTCCGGAGGGCCTGCGGTGGAGGCGAGCCACTCCTGGTCCCCAACCAGGAGATAAAGGGGTCTTCCTGAAGGAAGGGTTCCTACGCGGAGGCAACGTGGCCTCCCAGGGCCCACAGAGTGCTGGGGGACTGCCAGGCTCACGGGTGAGGGTCGTTTCCATCACAATCACATTTAAGAATGGGACTTTTGGGCTGGGGCTGGGGCTCAGTGGTAAAGCACTTGCCTAGCATGCATGAGGCACTGGGTTCAGTTCCTGGCACCACAATAAAATATGAACAAAATGAATAAAGGTGTTGTGTTCATCATCATCATCAACAACAAAGTGACCCTTCCCAGCTACTTGTGAGGCTGAGGCAGGAGGATCCCAAGTTTGAGGTAAGCCTGGGCAACTTCTAAGACCCTGTTTCAAAATAACAAATAGAAGGGCTGGGAACGTAGCTCAGCGGTAACGTGCTCCTGGGTTCCGTCCCCAGTGCTGGTTAATTGATAGATATCAATCCTGACCAGAATGCCAACAGGACCAGTATCTACCCTTTTGCATTATACTGTGAGCTAAAAGCTAATTCTTTAAGTTTTTAATCTATTGAAAACATGGAGGCCATTAGCAGATTATAACCCAAGAGGCCCCAGGGAGGAAGAACTCTTCCCTTGACCTGCCACAGCCTAGCCCCTGCCCAGACGCGCAAGGTTCCACCCCCACCTTGTGCCCAAAACTTGAGCAGGAACAGAGGGAACAATTCATGAATTGAATTCAGTCTGTGAGTCCGTCACAGCTGCTGGCCACAGGCCGTGGGGGCTGGACCTGGACACCATGTTGTTTGGTGACTTCATGACCTTGAGCCAAGATCCTGGGGTCCCAGGATCTGAGCCCGAGTTTCCTCATCCATGTGACGGGATGATCTTGGGATTCAAGCATTGGTGGCCCCATGTGCACGCTGATGGGGGGGGGTGGCGGGGGCCACACAACAAGTTGACTGCAGGCTCCCACTGTTTTCGGGGCAAAGGGAGCTTTTATTCCCATGACCTCATCGGCCAAGGGCCTTCCTTTGGAGAAAGAGAGGGGAGTGGGAATCACTTGGCTGCCTTAGGCTGCCGGGCCGCCAGGCTGAGGCCAGGGCGCCAGGGCCCGAGAGGGAGGGTGAGGTTCCAGCCAGGCGTGCAGGCTGGGGGGCCACCTCCTGCTCTGCAGGCCCATCCTGTGGCCACTCATTCAACTTAGGACTTCCACCCCAGGGGCCACCCCCACCTCTGAACCATGAGGTGGGAGCCCAGGCCCAGGCCAGGCCCGTCACACGCCCAGGCTGGTGTTCCAGCAGGCCATCCCAGCACCATGACCGATGGGACTTGGGCCCTCTGGCAGAGCCCATGACATCACTAGGATTTTTCCCTGTTTGGGAAAATAACGGTTTTTTTCACAGGGCAATGGCTCTTGTCCCCAGTGCTGGCTCTTGTGCCCTCGGGCTCCACACTCTGAAAGGGAAAGAAGTCACCAAGCAGCTGAAGAGCCACACTTCCCCTCTTCCCACAGAGCCCTTGTGCTGCCCAAGGGGACAGAGCTGGGAGCAGGTTGAGTCAAACCACCCACCTTGGGCCACTACGGGGAAGGCCCTGCAGGAAGTGCGCACGGGGGGGCGGGGGGGGGGCACAGGGAGAAGACAGGGCCACCGGCCTCCACAGCCCCAAACACACCGCAGGAGAACTCAGCGTCCCACAACTGGAGGAGGAAGACCCCCAAAGGGCTGTGAAGAACTGACCACACCCACTGGGGAAGTAGGCCTGCCCCCCAGGGAAACCCAGCACTGCCTCCGGGCTGTGCATCCCTGGGCAAGCCGGCCACCTCTCTGGACTAGTCCATGAGCCGGGAAAAACTTTTCAGAAACAAGAAGGTACCTGCCCGCACAGAGCTGCACCCCCAGGCGGGGCCCTGCACAGCAGATTGCAGGTTCTGACAGGAACCCCTGGGGTCCTGGGGTCCGCAGGCTCCCTGAACAAGGGAACAGAACCAGCTTGACTTGCTTCACAGTGGGGCGCAGGCCCCAGCACCCCTGGACCTGCTCTGGCAGAGTTCCACTGGCCAGGCTGCCAGCCGTCATGTCCCACCCCCAGCAGAAGTGCACACCTGCCAGGCAGTGCCCCATGCTCCGAGGGCACACAGCAGCACCCTCCGTCCCATGTGTGGATTTGGGAGCCAATGTCCTCATTGTGATTAATCTACCACAGTCTCCAGATAAAATAAATTCAGGCATTTTGCTGAGCACACGTTCATAGGTCAATGCTTCTCCGATGTGTTCTCAGAGATCTGTAGGTTCCACAGGAATTAATATTTTTTCATTCCATGGTAACATTTAAAGAAATTGGGTGTCAGTGTTAAAGGCAGAGCTTCCCTGTTTTCAGTCCTAACCTGCCAGGGACCTGAGACCCTCATGCTCAGGGCAGGCAGGGTGTTTTCTTGGAGCATTTCCCCAGGGAAGAGAGGCAGAATTCTTTTGGATGATTTACAACTAAAAGTGCCTCTTTTTGTGGGCTGGGGTTGTGGCTCAGTGGCAGAGCAGTTGCCTCAAACATGTGAGGCACTGAGTTCCATCCTCAGCACCACTCAAAAATATAAATAAGCAAAACAAAGATATCGTGTCCATCTATAACTAAAACAAAAACAAAAACAACAACAACAACAAAATAAATTTTTAAGTGCCTTTTCTCACTCAGGGCAGTGTTTCCTGTTTGTCATCTCCTGGCACTAAGCCAGCCAGGTGGAATGTGGCGGGAGGGGCCCTTCCCCTTCCTGGTTCTCCGCGTCCCGCGGTCCCGCGGTCCTTGGTCCACGCTCCCGCCATCCCTGGGGTGGATGGCGGAGGGAGCATGCCAGCTGTGCCGCCCCGACGATATCGAAAAGCGCCGTGTGCCCGCCAGGCGCACAGAGATCCAGGTGTGCACACTCCCCTCCTTTACGCCAGCCAAATAGGTCTGAACGTAACCATCCCGAGGCCCGCAGGGCTGCTCCACCTGTCGGGGTGCGGTGCCCTGCGCTGACCCTGGGGGCTGATGGACAGAGGGCAGCTTGGTCCGGTCCGCCCCCAACACTGTCCATAGCAGCATAATATGGGGTCATTCCTCCCAGCCTGGGCCCCCACCAGTTCTGGGCAGCTGCCCGCTTGGCAGACTGGCCCCATGACCCTGGGCCTCCGGGTGCATCCGACGTGGGCACCACCGGAATTCAGGGCGCCCCGGATCTGGGAGGCGTCCTGGAGGGAGGGGCTCCCGACTGGGAAAAGGGGCCCAAGAGTCCACTTCGACGTGCTCAGCTGGGGTCTCCGAGGCCTAAGGGTGGGGGCGAGCAGAGGGACCGGACCGGGGGCGGGAGCAGGGGCGGGGCGGGGCGGGCAGCGGCGGGGCTCGCGCGTTATAAGGCGCGGCCCAGGCCCGGCCCCGCGACGCCGCTCCGGAGCCGCCCTCCGCTCGCCGCGCGCATGGCCCCGTCCGGCCGCCCCGCCGGAGCGCGCCTGCTGCTCGTGTGCGCTGGCCTGCTGACCGCCGCCGCCGGCCTCGGCGACCCGGAGCCCCGCGCGCCCGCAGGGAGCCCCGCGCGCCCGCCGCCCGGGGCCGCGCCGTCCGCCCGCCCGGTAAGACGCGCCAGCCCGGGCGGGGACGGGGCACGTCGGGCAGGCGCGCTCCGCACAGCCGCTGCCGCCCGCAGCCCCGACCTCGGTGTCGGGGGTTCTCCTAGTTAGGGCTGGGGTGTGGCTCGGTGGCAGAGCTCTGGCCCGGGGTTCCACCTGCACCACCGCCACCACCACCCAAAGAAACGACCCACCAGCCACCAGGCGGGGAGGGAAGTGGGAGAGACCGTGCCCAGCGCTGCGGGCCAGTGACTAGCTTCTGGTGAAAGTGGGAAGAAAATCATTTTGAAAAGGGGTGAGCAATGACAGGAGTGCTTCCCCGCCGCTCTGAGGAAGGGACAGCAGGGTTGGGGGCCCAGAATGATCTCCTTCGTGCCTATGTTGCCTTTTGTCCATGACTTCTGGCCCCTGAGGGGCGATTGGAAGCCCTGCCCTGCTCCTTTCTCCCGGCTTTAGGGCTTGAAATGCTGGGGTGGTGAGCCGGTGGGGGAGGGCGTGGCCATAGGCCTGGAAGGGAGGGTTGATGGCCCTTCACTGGTGTCCTCTGGGTGGATGGGGCCTTCCATTCAGGGCAGTGAGGGCACCCAGGGTCTCTGGACTGAAGGTGCTGTGGGCCTCACACAGGGAAGCCTCAGGCCAGATCCTCTGTCCTAAGTATCCACTTAGGACTATGCTTAGCCAAGAAGGGGTCAACTAAGGAAGGTTGGAGACTGCAGCCAGCTCTGGGGGGTCCCTCTGCAGGTACCTCTGCGGAGCCCTTCATCCCGGAATAAAGCCACATATGCTTAGGCATGGGCCAAGAACTCAAAGGGCCAGGCAGACAGATTCAGGGTCACTGGGAGGCAGAGAGAGGCTCAGGGCTTCTAAGTGGGATTTTGACCTTGGATCTCTGGAGGGTCTAGGTGTCAGCAGACCACTCTCCTCTCTTGCCCTGCTGAGGTTCCAAGGCTTCTTTCTGAGCAAGTCCTTACAGCTGGAGACCTTGGCCGGTCGGGGCAGCTGCCCAGCCCACACCAACACTGCTGCAGACCCAAATCCTTGGGCCCCAGACTACACACTGCAGCCCTTCCTCCAAACCAGCACAAGTCTAGTCTATCCACAGGCCACTGGCCCAGCAGGGAGGGTAAGCCCAACATCCCCCCTGGCCTGTGTGGGAAATCCTTGTGCCACTCAGGATACCATGAGGCTATGCAGAAGAATCACCAGCAACCATCAGCCCTGTAAGATGTGGGTGTCCTCTGTAAGCCCTGTAAGGTGGGGGTGCAGAGGGAGGCCCTCTGAGGACTGTCTGTCCACCTGACTTTCTTCCAACACCGAGCCTCTATCTTCTCAGCACAGCAGCCTGGCCTGTGGGTGGTTGGCAAGCTCCCAGAGGAAGGCCCTGAGTCCCTGCAGAGCATTGGGAACCCATAAGGCCGGGACTTGGTGGCTGGGTCTGTCCTTGACAAAAGGGCCTGGCCAACTCCGACACCTGGGGTCTTGTCACCAACCACTGGAGCCCCATGACCTCATCTGAGCCTTCTTGGGCCATTTCCTTCCCAGCTGGCACCCCTGCCTGGAACCCAGCAGGCCAGAGGCCTTTCCCAGGAAGCAGGTTCCACCAGAGCTTTGCTCCACATTGAGACTTGTCAGATGCTGCACTTGCAGGAATGGACATTTCTGGAAGTGCCATGTCCTTGCTTGGGTCAGAGGCAGATAGGATAGCCCCTGCCCCTGTGCCTCATGCCCGGCAGCAGCCCTGGTGGCATTGCTTTGCTGGAACTTGTGCCAGTGGAGGAGAGAGAGCAGGGTCTGTGGCAGTCGAGGTCTCATTATCAGCTGCCTCTTCCTGAGCACCAGTGGGTGCTGGTGCTGTGATCCTCCTGGTGACTGTCAAGGACAGTATGATTGTCCCAGTGCATCCTGAGGAAGCCCTGGACAGGCTAGGCAGCCTGCAGTGCTGATGCACATGTGCAGCAGACCCTGTGCCCCACCTTCCTCTATCCGCAGCAGGGCCTGCTTCTCGCACCGCTGCAGTCTGGGCTGTGGTGTGACATGTTCCCCAGGAGTTGTCCTCCATGGGCCAGAAGGAGAGGGGCAGGGGCTGTGCTGCATTTGAGAGCACATGTACAGGGCCAGGGTGCTAAAGGAAGTGCTGCACATGGTCACACCTGTAAGGCACGCCCGAGCAGGCACCAGGTGAGGGGGACCAACCTGCCGGGCTGGCTGTGTTCCAGGAGCCCACCACGGAGCCAGCGCACAGTGTCGACCCCAGGGATGCCTGGATGCTCTTTGTCAGGCAGAGTGACAAGGGTGTCAATGGTAAGAGGAGGAGCAAGGGCAAGGCCAGGAGGCCAAAGGTGAGTAGCCTGGACCCCTTGCCTCTGGTGTACGCACTCAGCTCTGAGACCTCACACCTGGGGCAGGGATGCAGAGGAACTGGCCAGGCCCGGGAGCCCTGAGTTAGGGCCTGGTCCTCACCACTCACCCACACCCTTGGTGTGCCAGGCCCTCTTCTCTCCCCTGTGTGTCCTGGAGAGGGGCCTTGCCCAACTGTGTGGAGTGTGCTGGAGAGGCCTCTGCTGGGCCCTGCTCTCACTCAGCCCTGGGCCTGGCCTAGGCTGGGACTCGGTGCTTGGCTTAGTGGCTAACTCCTGCTTTGAGCCCCAGTGAGGGCTGTGTCCTCTGAGACAGGAGCTTCGGGACAGGGCTGTGCTGCCCATACTGAGCGTTGGGCTTCTCTATCCATGGAGAGCCAGTCTCACTGTTCCAAGTGTGGAATGCCAGCTCTGAGCCTGGTGTGCAGAGAGGTGCTGCGCTGTTACTGTGGCTCGCCCACCCGCTCTCCTTCTGAACCACCTGACCCTGCCCCAAGCTGCTCCATGCAGCAAACTTCCTCCCTTCTGTGTTGGGTCCTGACCCAGGCCAGTGTGGGCTCCTGGAAGGCCCTGGACACTAGTACTAGCCAGATGCATACTAGTGTCTTGACTGACTTGAGGTGCAAGTCCCTAGAAGCTGCCTGTAGTCCCCCTCCCTCCAGGAACACCAGGGAGGGGTAGGCCACAGCCGGCCACAGGCCTACCCACAGCCAGTCCCACATTCCTGTCCAAACCCAGCCTTGAAGTTGCCCAGGGCCAATAGCTTTCACTGACTGCAAGGGGTTGAGATCCCACGGCTCACCTGGGAGGTCAGAGCCCATAGCTACTGGGTGCTCTCCTGCCTGTGTGTGGCAGGAGCTGGCAGAGGGAATGCCCCTGGCACCCAGCTGCCTCTTCATATGTCCTCACAGCCAAGGTTCCCTTCCAGCTTGGCCTGCCAGGGCCCCCGGGACCACCTGGCCCCCAGGGCCCCCCAGGGCCCCTCATCCTACCCGAGACACTGCTGAAGGAGTTCCAGCTGCTGCTGAAAGGTAGGGTTACCACCCTGGCTATCTTGTGCACCAGGGTTTGGGCATCCATGTTTGGGCAGAACTTAGCAACTCAGTTCCTGAGGTGGCACCTGACTGGCCCAGCCTAGGTATGCCAAAGGTAGGGTCTGGGGGTGGGGGCATGGTGAGGAAAAGGCTTCACAGAGGAAGAGAGGCATACCACCAAGTGCTCTAGCTGGGAGTCCAGAGTCCTGCCCCAGGGTTGTGGGCTGCAGCCAGCCTGGCCCATATCACTTACCGGCTCTGGATTTGTTATGATGAACTGGGCCATTTCAGACCCCTCCTGTTCAGAGTGCTGGTTTTATTTTTTTGTACCAGGGATTGTACTCAGGACCGCTGGACCACTGAGCCACATCCCAGCCCTATTTTGTATTTTACTTAGAGACAGGGTCTCACTGAGTTGCTAAGTATCTTGCCGTTGCTGAGGCTGGCTTTGAACTTGCCATTCTCCTGTCTCAGCCTCTGGAGACGCTGGGATATCAGGCGTGAGCCACTGCACCTGGCTGTGCTGTTTGTTTTTTAATACCACCTCGGTGACTAGAGAACTCTGCGTGATTGCCAATATAGCTGCAGTAGTAACTTACACGCATCTGCTTTCCAAAAGAGGCCTGGCTGGGGGAAAGGGTGCTGGTGTAGGCCACACCTGCCCCAGAGAGGGGGCTGTATGCCCTGTGACCAGGAGCTGGAGGGAAACTGCAGCTGCAGAATGGGAAGCCAAGACTCCCCAGGCCTTGCAGTCGAGGAGGGAACTCCAACCTTTGGGGTGGGCAGGTGAGGCAGCCCCCCATGAGCCCACCTCACTCTGTGCCAGGCGCAGTGCAGCAGCGTGAGTGCACGAAGCCTGAGCCCTGCATTCGGTGTTCGGCTGAAACCACGGGCTCAAGCCCCGCCCCGGGCTCCATTGAGGATGAGGCAGCGGCCGGGGACATGCTGGCGCTGCTGGCTGCGCCCCTGGTTCCAGGCCCACTGGCTAGGCGTGTGGAGGCGGCCTTCCTCTGTCGCCTGCGCAGGGACGCACCTGTGGAGCGCCGCACACTGCACGAGCTGGGCATCTACTACGTGGTGAGTCAGGTGCGTGGGCCCAGTGGGTACACAGGACCAAGCACCTGGGATGACCGGCCTTGCACCCCACAGCCTGACTCCGAGGGTGCCTTCCGCCGCGGCCTGGGCCTGAACCTGACCAGCGGCCAATACACAGCGCCCGTGGCTGGCTTCTACCTTCTGGCTGCCACGCTGCACGTGGGTGAGGCCCGGGGCGTGGGGGGCCGCCCACCGCCCTGGCTCCTGCCGCTGTCACGTGACCACCACCTGCCCTCCCCGCAGCACTCGCCGAGCAGCCAAGGCACAGGCCTCTGCGCCCCGGGGACCGCTTGCGCCTGCTCATCTGCATCCAGTCTCGCTGCCAGCACAACGTGTGAGTGGGCCCTGCCCAAGCTCTGGGCGCACACTTGGCCTCCCCAGCCCACCTGGCGGCCCCCTACCTCCGTGCCCACTGCCACTCTATCCTGCCCACTTCAGGGTACACCCGGGAGACCTGGTCCTTCCCAGCCTCTGCCTCCTTGAGCCCCCTAACAGGGAACTCTCATCCAGGGGCCAGAGGGAGGCAATAGCGCCACCTCCTGAGTGGCATTTCCTGGCCACCCCTACCCTGTGAACTTTCTTTCCCATGATGACATCCATTCCTTATGGCTAGTGTCCCCATCTGTACTGCATCTGGACCATGAGGGCAGCCTCTACCAGCTCCCTGTCTCCCTGGCACCCGGACTAAGCCCAGGCACACCACAGGTGCTCTGCATGTGGGGAGGAGAAGGTGCAGATGAACAGGTGACACTGAGAAGGAATGGCTCTGGGAACCCTGGAGTGACTGGCCTGACCTGGCTGTGTATCACCTCTGCCACACTCCCACCTCCATCTGCACCAGCAGTGTCCTGTCTGTCCTCAGAGCCAGGCCTCTGCTGCCCTTGCTCAGCCCGGCCCAGCCATGCCCTTGGTGGGTGTGCATGTGGCGCTGGCTTCCCCCCCCCCCCAGACCCCTTCAGAACCTGCCCACCGTGAACAGGCCAGGACCAAGCACTTTGCTGGGAATGGTGACAGTTGCTGGGTGACTGTGTCCTGTGGGGACACTGGGGCCTGGAGCAGGCTGTCTGTCTTGGCCACAGCTCCCTGGAGGCTGTCGTGAGCCTGGAGAGCAGCAGTGAGCTTCTCACCATCTCAGTGAACGGGGTCCTGTATCTGCAGGTGCGTGGGGCCAGCTGGTCTGTGGGGAGCGCTGCCTGGGCTGGAGCCATAGGTGAGGGGTCCCGTACTGTGGTGGGTAGGTACTCCCAGCCACCTAGGCCCTCTGTGGGGCCTGGTGAAGCGTGAGCCTGGCGCTTCATGACACCTGGCCCACTGCCACAGCGGAAGCCTGTGATGTGGCCGTTTTCTCCAGAAAACCCCGAGTCCTGAGGGGATCTGCCAAGTGGTAGGGATCTATGGTGAAGGTGGATTCATTCAAAAGGAGGTGGCGTGTGGAGTGACAGCGCTGGTGGTCCTCAGCGCTCTGAGTGCCACGGTGCTGCCGACAGCGCCAGGCCAGGCCTGAGGCCAGCCCTGCATCACACGAGCCTGTCAGACTCTGGATCCCACTCTGGCCTGGGCGGGGGCTGGCTCCCATATTCCTGAACTGTAGGACACTGGGGAGAGCTCTAGACTAGGTGCCAGAGGTGCTGGGTTCAAGTCCAAGGCCTACCAATGCTTGCTCTGTGCCTGGGCCCTCTTGCTGCCCAGGCAGAGTGGGCAGGGGCAAGGGCACTGGCCCCAGACATCCTGCAGGCTGTCCTGGCCTCAACCTGACCGGCACCCTTCCTGCAGACGGGGCAGTATGCTTCTGTCTTCCTGGACAACGCCAGCGGCTCCTCCCTCACGGTGCGGGGTGGCTCCCACTTCAGTGCTGTCCTCCTGGGTGTGTGAATGGCCACAGGCAACACCTAGACAATTGGAAGGACAGCCACCCAGGTAAAAGGAAGCCCACCTGGAACTCTGCCCACACTGGTCACTGCAGTTGGGCCCAGAGCTGGCCACTACAGGTGGCCCTACAGAGGTGACACACACCAGTGGTTCCAGGACCAGCAGTGATGTTTTGAAAGTGGAAGATCCCTCTGGGCTTCACCTTGGAACCGTCCAGCATGCCCAGTGGCACTGTGTGTCCTCGGCTGTGAGCTAGCTCCCACATGGCCCCACACAGCTCAGCTTTCCTGGGGCCCATCTTTTTTGGCCTTCTCATGGGCTACAGAGAGCCCTCTGCACAGGGCTGATGGGCACCAATGAGAAGTCAACCACACATCCTCACTGCATACTGGGGAGCCAGGCTGTCTGGGGCAGCGGCCTTGCCCACCACTCACCTGCTGACTTGGGCTTCCAAGCCTCTGTGCCTCTCCCCAGCCTTGCTTCTACCTGCCGTGAGCTTCAGGGACCTGCTTGGCCCCCAGTGGCCACTGAACTGAAGACCTGATGTGGACTCTTGGCACAACTGCTTCAGGAACCAGAGGACGGCTGGACAGGGAATTCCTTCTGGAGGACAGCAGCTCCCAGAGGCCTGGCTCCCAGCAGCTGTTTCCCTGCCATGTGTGCCAAGCTCAACTCCCAAGTCCTCCTTGCAGGTGCCTCGGCAAATGAAACCACACTCCCCCCAGTGATCCTTCAGACAAGGCCTCCTGGGCCCACTCCAGAGGCCAGCTGGTCAATAAGACCCTTTTCCATCCCCTACCAGTTGACAGATGGGAGACAGCCTGCCAGCCCAGGCAGCCAAAGCAATGGTACAGGTGAACTGACCACTATGGGCCCCATGGGCAGGCCTGGTCTGATTCTCGGTAGGACTTGTATCCACCCTACCAAGAAGCACCAGGCTGGCCTGGGTCCCAACTCCCGTGTACTTTGATAAGGGGGTGATGTGGCCACACCCATCCTGGATTTCAGTTTGTTAACATAGTTATCTTTTCCCTTGAAAGAGCTGCACACGCACATATTTGCCCAATGTAAGCATGTTACATAGTATAATGTTGTTGCCAGGAAGGAGATATTTATATAACTGACACGTGTTACTGTGTGATGTGACCACACAAAGCTATTTTAAAAAAAAGGGGATGGATCTGAGAGTCAGAATCTTGACCCTTTAGCCCTAACCACCAGGAGTGCTGAACACCAAGGAGATGCAGGTAGTCCCCAGCTGCAGGGTGGGAGGGGACTCCCCCTGCATGGGCAGGGGGGACCTTGCCAAGGATGCCAGGGCCAAGCCTCACCCAGAAGGGAATGGGCACTTAAGAGAGACACAAACCACAGCCTTCAAGACACAGAATGACACCTGGTTCGCTGTAGGAAGACATCTACCAAATAAACTGACAGACTCGAAGGTGCTGGAGTTCTGTTCTTCCTGGATGCCACAATCCAGTGTCCCAGTCCCCAAGCAGAAATGGATACCTACCTTTTGACACTGTGGGGAGGGGTGGCTCCGTCAGCTCTTTGTTCTATTTATGGTCTTACCACGGCAGACCCCAGGTTTACACGAAAGGTTCACATTGAAGAGCCAGCTCACCACCAGGACTGATGGCTGATAAGCCGTGTGCAGTGGGTGGGGCCAGCGAGCACCACAGACCATGCAAACCATCCTAGGCCCAACACTCAGAGGAGCCAAGAGCTGCTTTTAAAAAATGACAGTTCTGGGGACTGGGGTTGTGGCTCAGCGGTAGAGCCCTTGCCTAGCATGGGCGGGACCCGGGTTCGATCCTCAGCACCACATAAAAATAAAATGCATTGTGTTGTGTCCATCTACACCAAAAAATACATATTAAAAAAATAAAAAATGACAGTTCTGTGTGAGCACAGGCTGACATTTGACCCATCCCTCACCTTACACAGCAGGGCCCTCTGGGCTGATATTTTCAGGGTCCACCTTGGCTACAAACAGACCTGCCAGGGGCCTGCCAAAGTCGTATTGGATGGCACATGATGAGCCATGCCCTTTGAAGACCCAGGGGAGCCAGACTAAGACCTGCTAAGCCAGCATTCCAGAACCCTTCAGCCAGACTGCAGTGCACAGGAGATGGAATGGGCCAAACTGTTGCCGGGGCCTGGCAGGGCAGGCCCCTGAGGGAGAGCCTGGTATATGGGCCTAGCTCTGGCCAAGCCCTGGGCTCCTGTAACAATTTTTAACGCTATTTCTGTACAGAAAATTGAATGGAGCCACAGGATTCCAAAAGTCTGGTTCTGACCTAGCCTCATCCCTAACCAGTACAACTGGCCCTGTGGGGGTCATCACGAGGCTGAAAGAGCATGTGGTCTTGGAGAGCTAGCCTACGATGCCCACAGTGGTCCTACCAGGAAAAGATGCAGAGTGCACACCAGGGCAAGCACACGCAGCCTGATGGGTAATATGAGGACTCAAAAGACTAGGAAAAAAAAAAAGAAACCTTTATTTACAACCATGGAGCCCCACAGGAGTACACAAAACACAGAGTGTGCACACGTGAATGAACCTGCAAGCCAACACCTGCGGGTAGCGCCTCATTGACCTATCCGCACCACCATCACTGTGACGTTGTCCGCCGAGCCCCGCTGCACCGCCTTGTTGGCTAGCCTGTTACAGGCAGCTTCGTAGCGGGCATCTATAGCGGGCTTCCCTTCCCGGGTCTGGATCTTCTCATCCTACCAGATGAGAAAGGGGCCTGAGTGAGCAGGGGCTCTGTCTGCTCCCTGTCATCCTCCTGAGACTGCTCTGTGCCTATCAGGGTGCAGGGCAAAGTGACCAGTGAGTCCCCCAGGCAGAGCTCATGTTGAATAAGGAATACAAGGGCTGCCCCTGACACTGACGTAGGGCCTTGGGACTTCCGCTTCTCTAGAAATGGAGGTGCAGCTGGGACAACTGGCACACCCTTGTGAAATTGCTCACCTCCAGGCAGGACAAGATGAAGTTCACGGCTTCTTCTGGGGTAAAGACCTTGAAGAGCCCATCACAGGCCAGTAAAATGAACCTACAACACCAGGAAGAAACATAAATGGGTTTTAGCAGCCAACTACTTACAAACAATTGGAGGTGGACTTGGTACATCAAGAGTGGAGCTGCCGTTCTCTGTCCATGACCGACACCCTCATGCTAGGTGCCGCTCTTCTGTAGAAGCACTGTCACCTGCAGCACCAGGTACGAGGTGTACACACTGGGATTAACCAAGTATGTGAAGCCAAGCGTGAGCTGAGACCTGAGGGATATCCTGGGTGTAACCTTCACACTAGAAGGCCCAAGATCTCAAAGAGGGCCACCCCACTGTTTTGGTTTGAAAGCAGCACACTCTCCCTTTCAGGACCCCTTCCTCAAGAGCAGTCTCTGAGCTCCCCTGGGCTCAGCAAGGCAGCGCTCACTCTCCTGGCACTGCTTGGGTCGCCACCTTGCTCTGCTGCTGCACTGTCCAGTCTGTTTTCCTCTTCTGACTGGACATTCACATATCCAGTATTTTCTGAGCTCCTGGTCTGTGCTAGGGACACCTTCCAGTGTCCTGAGAGTCAGACCTGGAACCATCACCCATGCACACCCATGATAAAGGGAAGCTGCGACAGCAACGCAGGGCTGGGGAGGCAGACGGGCCTGGCCTAGTCTGAGGCAGAGAGGGGGCTGCTGGAAACACACCCCTAGGCCGAGGGTGGTCACAGCATGGCACACAAAGGCAGGCGTGGGCAACGGGAGAGGCTGTGAGGAGAGTGAGGCAGTGTGTGCTCTTCCTCTGCAGCCCTGAGGTGGGACCCAGGCTGTGCCTACGAAGACTGTTGGGTTGCAGTGGCCCCCCTCCCTAGGGTCATGCTTGTGGGCTCAGTCTGGGGGTCCCATTTTCCTGTGCTCCTCTCCATTCCTTCCTGCGGACATACTGCAGCCTCTCCATCATGCCAGGCTCCTTGGCTCTGGAATCCATTTTTCCCCACCCCCGAACCTTTTTTTTTTTTTACTTAAAAATTTATTTATTGTAATTTGTTATACATGACCGCAGAATGCATTACAATTCTTATTACACATACAGAGCACAATTTTCACTTCTCTGGTTGTACACAAAGTAGAGTCATACCATTCGTGTCTTCATACATGAACTTAGGTAATGATGACCATCTCATTCCATCCTCTTTCCTACCCCCTTGACAACTACTTGAGAGGTTTCCTCAGGGGCACCTGCCTTGTCTGCAGGCCCTCCAATGGGAGGTACCCAATTTGGTAGTGTTTCTCAATCGATCCTGGTTCTGCTTAAAAACGTCCCTGATTCTCCACCAACTATGAACCAAAATTCAAATACCTCAGTGGAACTGAGGGCCCTAGGCAGTCTACTCTGAATCCTCAGCACTGCTTTACCTTCCCAGCCCTCCCGTCCTCCAAATCCCCACTGTCATGGCCGGCACCTGCCTGGCTAGGCTTCCACACTGCCACTTGAATGCCCTGTGTGTGCTGCTGTCCTCCACTGCCAAAGCCTCCCAGAGCACCCCACAGGCCCATGACACACTGTGCGCAACTGCCCGCTGTGGACCCATCTCTCTCTTTAGGCCTAGCACAGTGTCTGAGACCTTGCCAGTCACTCACACCCTTCCCCCAGCAAAGGCTGGATACAAACTGGAAGGAATCCGGGAGGCTCAGCCCCACATGCACATGCACACCTGTGCCTGCAGGGCAGTTTACCTGTCGTTGGGGGTCAACTGGCAACGTCTGATGTCAGGCACGGAGGTGACCCCGCAGCGCTTGTACTGCCCGTCCCCAATGGAGCGGGACACCTCCAGCACACCCAAGACACGTCCATCCCTAAGACAAGAGAGACATTTTCAGACTCCATCCGAGAATCTGATCCTAAAAGCAGAATACAGAAGAGAAAGCTACAGACTATGGAATCCACATTATAGTACTGACACTTTTTTTAAACTAACTTTATTTATTTTTATGTGGTGCTGAGGATCGAACCCAGTGCCTCACATGTGCTAGGCGAGCGCTCTACCACTGAGTCACAATCCCAGCCCAAGTACTGACACTTCTTGATCTCAACTAATATGCAGTTCTGTGGGTCATTAACATCCGAGGCCCTAAGCTGAGCCCAGATCAGACCCCTGTCGCAGCTCATGGTGCTGCGCCTGACCTCCTAGGAGCTTGACAGTGGTTAATACCACAGTGCCAGGCTTCCCAAGTCACCAATAAGCTCTGAAGAACTGTGTGTGTGAACATGCAGCAAACTCTTCCTGGGCTCAGCCACTGTCTCTTGGAGGCAGAACTCAGCCTGGCCCTCTCTGTATCCGTCACCCCTGCCCGGTGGCTCACAGCCCGGTCATCCATACAAAAGCCAAGACTTCTGCTGGCCATCTCCTGGGGTACAAAAAAAAAAAAAAAAAAAATTACAGAGCCAGAGGAACTCGAGTGAGCAGGACCCACAGCTGAGAGTACAGGTGCAGCGGGGACCCGCAGTCTTAAGAGCCCCAGCTGAAGAGGTGCTTCAGAGGTTCAAGAACTGTGAGAGGCCAACAAAGTGCTTCTGCAACTGAGTGACAAGGTGCCTGGTGTGGCCCCCCCCCATCACAAACCCATCCTGTGCAATGACCTCTGCAATACAGGCTCCTGGAGGACCCAACCTCTGCCAGCTTCTGTGCAGCACAGCTCAGTGCACAGCACCAAGGCCCATCTAAGGAAGCTGAGCCTGCGGCGGCTGCTGCCTCTCCTGCCCGCCTGCTGCAGTGGTACACTCCTGAAGTGCTGCTGCCACGGCAGAGAGCAACGACAGATGAGCTTTGGCTCCAGAGAAGCCTGTGCATCCCAGGAAACACTAGGAGGGACCCGCAACCAACACCCACTGTAATCCCTTGCGTGGGATGCGATATGCAAATGCCAGGCCACCCCACAGAGACAGGTCAGTACTTCCCCAGGCGGAGACTGCACTGTGCCTGGGGAAGCCCACACCCTTTATGCTTTATGAACTTGTGATCAAGCTCAAGACCACTGCTGACCAGCTTTGTCAAGATCCAGCCAAACAGGCCACAGGCGTCCTAGTCCCCAGCAGCTTCTTCCTTCTGAGACCATGACACAAACCACATGTGACGGTTCCCAGGATGCCTGTGCCGCTCAGGGCGGTTAAGTTTCATAGCAGGTCCTCCCCCAGGAGCTGCTGAAAATTCATTCTTCCTCCAGGTCTGCAAGGCTTAGGGGAGTGGCTTCCAAGTCTCACCTACCACGTCATGCCTGTCCGTTGGTGCCGGCCCTCCTTAGGAGACCTGTTCTGAGACATGTCTCCTGCCCTTACACACTTCCAACTTTTGCTTCAAGTGGCTTCCTTTCTGTTTCCCACCTGCCAACCAGCCAGAGAAGCCTCTTCCTATTAGGCGAGGGGCTGCTCAACAGCCCTT